ACAGTATAAATGCTTGGAAATCCATGCTTATCAGAATAAAATAATTTAAGATATATGAATTAGGAATTTGCATGCAAGGGACTGACACAAAATTACACTTAAATGGGCAGGAAAAGCATGAATTTTCACCAAGGAAATTAAAATCTTATTGGGGCTAGAATTTCCTCCCTCAAAATTAAATTGCAGGAAAAGTACATAATGGAGTTTTAAGCCATCAACAAGTACAGGCTGATGATGCATTATGAACAGTGACAACATCTGTGGGAGGCGGAAAGCAACGTTCAGCATGGATCTCGTCCACAAAGGAGTTCCCATTGAGTTGAAATGAAAAGTTAGCAAGTTACTCTGGTTGCACTGGATGGCTTTCACTGACATGAGAGGCTAGGATTCCCTAATGCCACACAGGACAATGGACTGTATATATGTGTGGTAGGGATCCCAGGCCTAACAAGACCACCAGCAAAAGAAAAGTTCAGTGAGGACCTCCGTGACCTTGGAGAACCCTAAGCAGTGACAGGAGTGTGTTGGATCTCAGAGAGCAAATGTAGTAATTGTGGAGAAGTGAGTGTTTAATATCCCGCCAACTCACACTGATGAATACATTTACATTCTGAAAATAAAGATTTAGAAAAAGAAGTAGAAAATGCAGAAACAAGTAGAATTCAGAAATTTGCAGTGATTTATGCCTTCCCTTTTCATTTGATATAATATAAAACAAATCACTAGCACAAAACACCACATCAGTACAGTAAGATGTGATGGCACGTATTTGCATCTTGGCTCTAAGTTGTCACACATCCTACCGTACATGTGCATAATCACACTACAACATTTTCCTTCCATCTTGGCCCATGCACATGGGCAGTAGGACCCTTTGAAATGTCAGACCAGAAGGGAAACAACTGTTACAGTTTGAAAATATGAGAATAACAATTAAGATAGTAGCATACACCGGTGTCCAAAGGCAAAAAAGACAATGGCAGAACACAGGAAAGGGTAAGATCTTCTATGTCATAAACCAAGAACCTTTTGGAGGGATGGAAGTGCAGATAGCGACTGCACTGCAGGAGGCTTGGATCCAAGTTGATCACAGTTCATCAAAATGTCAGAGCCATTAGCCAAACAATGGTCACTCTGCAGATCATGCTCCGTGCATAAGGAGCACTGAGTGGGACTGGGGGAGTGGGGAGGAGAACAGATGCAGCGCCGCTAGACTCAGATTTTATTCATACCCTGTGCCAGTACTGAATGTGTGACTTAGTCTGTGTCCCTATTTGTAAAATGAGTGCAGTGGTTGGTCTTGTTTCATATGGCTGTGACACATCAAATTGGAAATGCAGGAAGTGTTGTAGGGCAGCATCTGTCACACAGTCAGTACTAGGCACGTGTCCAGCAAGGTTTCTGTGAGGGTCAAGGGTGCCTTTTCCCCTTGAGATCTTATTACTGGAGTTTTCCATTAAAACCATTAAAGGGACAGTTTGCATGCAGAATTTCTCCACATTTAATACAGTCGACAGGCTCTTACACTCTTCTCACTGTTACAGACCTATACTTAATTCAATGGCATTTTTTAAAGCTACTTGCACTTATACAAGCTTTAGAAACACTTTTAGAGCAACAATTTTCATTTTGCATATAGTTTATTGATTTCTATAGTATGTCTACATTGGCATTATTAATTTTTAAAATCACAGGCTTACCATTTTATGCATTCCTCACATAAACAAACTGAGTTACAAACATGTGTCATCCCCACTAAGCACTGAACCCAATTGGTAGAACAAGTAAGTACCCTTTGAGGCCTTTTCTGGTTGTCAACATTTATGAAGTTGAAGGTGTTGTACAGTATGATCAATGAGTGGAAATGGTAAGCATTGTTTCTACGGGTGATGTAGGTTTGGATAAGATTGGTTAAAGACTCCAGTCCCTGTATGAATGCTGCTTTAGGATTTTAATTGCTATACGTTTCTGGATTTTTTTAGAACTTAGATCAAATTGCTAATTTTAGAGGAAAGTCCTTGATCTGATTTATGAACACCCATTCTTCTAGAGATACCATTTTAGAAACTAGAATCAATAGAAAGGTTTAGGGCCAGGGAGGTAGCTCAGTGGAATAAGTGCTTGCCAGGCAAATACAAGGTCTTGAGTTTGATCCCTGGTACCACATCCCCCGCCACCAAAAAAAAAAAAAGGTTTATAGCCAATCTCAAGATCTGAATTTTCAGGTTGAGCAGCATTCTCATCCCCCATCAAGGATCTGGCTCCCTTTGTTCTTGCTTTTGACATGAGATCTCCTTAGCAAGCCTAGTCTGGTTCCGAACTCCTGGGTTCAGAGATCCTTTTGCTTCAGCCTCCCAGGGGCTGGAGCTATGGGTGTGTCCCAGTATTCCAGCTCACTTGACTCTCTTTATAAATGACTACACTCTATCAGCTAATCTCTAGAGATATCCTTTTGTTTCTCCAATTCATAGCTTTATGAAGTGACATCTATATAACCTCTTGTTTCTTATTTTGAGGTAGAAAGTTGACTGTTACTTATCATTCAGTTTTTGTATGCTATTTACAATTTACCTACCAAAATTACAATGAATTAAAAAATAGTTCTATATCCCTCTTCAGGGGGAAACTTTAGATTATACAGAATCATTGGCCAGTACTCAGAAGATCACCACTATTCCAGTTTTGTACAACATAAAGAAATCCACAGAAATCTCCAGTGCTGAAAAAGAAGTCCATGGGCAGCAGCCACAGCGCCCATAATATCTGGGCTGATGGGCAGAATGGCGAATTTGTGTCTGTGGACTTCCACCACTGCGGGGGCAGAGCCTGCATGGCGGCTGCATGCTCCAGAGACGGGGTAAGACAGGAAAATTTGAGCAGGTGGCACAAAGAGCTCCAAGGTCTCCTAGGTTTATGCAAACCAACAAAATAACGCTCCCACTTCTAGAATACTACACTTAGCATTTTCTCATTATTCCATTCAACAAATAAGTATTGAAATCCATAGCTGTGAAGCAAGCTCCGAATGGTTTTCTTTTAGCTCCATGGCATATCTTTCTGTCTCAATTAAACCAAAGGAGCCACCTGAAAATGAAAATTTATATCCAGCATAATTAAGAAATCAAGTGAAAACCCTGCAACTTCCCTGCCGTGAGGTGAGCTCTAAAGTACTAGTGGGCAGGCTGCAACTTTCAATCCATTCTCTTTCACAGAACTATTAACAACCTGTCTTTGATAAATACTATTTAAAGTAGGATGGCTAATTCTAGCAAAAATTATTCTGAGTTGAAGGTAAAGTCTGTTGACTGAAAATATGCAATGATAAATTCTGAGCTCTTTTGCTAGCATACACATACCCCGTTTCTTGGACATGGATTTAAGAAATATGAAAAAGCTTAAATATCTACAGCACATGTGTTTGCTATGCAAATAAATTATCATGATTCATAAACAGGGACTGCAGCTCCTCAAACATTGTTCCAGAAAAGCCTCAAGTTAAAGCAGGAAAAACAGAAAAAACTCATAAACATGCAACAGCTGTTAAAAGTAATTTTAATATTGGATCTTGATTATGAGATTGCACAAGAAACAAGACTTTTTAGAAACCAAGATCCCCTATGACAAACATTTATTGTGTTTGGGGCCAGGAAACAGAATAGAGATAAATGACTTCCTTCTTTCCCCTACCACAAGTTTTGAGTTATAAATTATGAATTATACGCCAACAGATAAAGCAGAGAGGAAATTAATTTAAGAGATGAGATCTAGTTTGTAATTCAGAGAGCTGTTTTATTTTAATTTGGGGGGCAAATTACATTTTGATGCTCAGTTTTACCAAACATCTTTCTTTCTCTGGAATGAATTGCAATTTCCCATTATATCTCTGAGGAGTCCTAAGAAGTTTATGCTAAAATTCAGAGTGTACATTAGCGACACAGTCTCAGCCATTTGGAAAAATACTGTCCAGTAGAGCTTTCTATGATGATGGACATATTCTGCTTTTGTACTGTTCAGTACAGTAACTGCTGGCCACATGAAGCTTCTGAATATTCCTAACGTGGCTAGTTGGATTTAAGGAGTTAGTTTTAATTTAATGAAAAATTTGAAAATAAAAACTCAGTCTTATATAGCTTGTGTTCTAGGGCTGGACAGTAAGGTCTAGGTGATCAGAGGCCAGAGGACCTTCCTGTCAGCCAATTAAACCAAGCAGCTGTGGGTTACCCTTTGTATGCTGATCCTGCCCCCTAAAACCTCAACGCACCCTTTGACAGCTTAGCCCTGAAAGCTCTGAGCAAAGCTCTTGGGATCTTGTATGAGCAAATGTGCACATTAATGGGATCAAAAAGATGGGAAACAGGAAAGGTCAGCCCTGCAGCTCCCTCTGCCAATTTCTGGGCTTCCCTGGCGTGGCTAGTGCTTTGTCAGGGACAGCTTCAAAATGATGCTGATGGCTTGGCTTTCCACAGCTTTCCATGTTATGGAGGCAAGTGAAAAAGGAGCACAGCGAGAGCATGCTAGACAAAGAGGATCCATAGAAACACTACCAGAGTCCACGAACTCTCCATAGAGACAGACATGACAGAAGCACACACTTTGGGTGCATTTCAGATTCTACAGAATCTGAGGTAAAAAAAAAAAAAAAATGTTTCGGTATTATATAGAACCCTTGGTTAATTATCGTGGAATTCGCAGTTACTAATACTGGTGCCCAAAACAATTATTTCCTGACTCCACTTCTGCTTTCCACTTATTCTGTTGAAGAACACCCTCTGATTGTCCTTTTACCCGAGTATTCTTTGTTAGCATTACTTTACCTGTATGTAACTTTAAAAAGGTGAAGAATTTACGAGACATTCCATTTTAATGACATCTCTTGAGATGGGACAGAATTAGGATTTTGATACCATATGCTTTGTTTTTAGAGGTGTCGGCAATGTTTAAGTTATTTCTTGTCAATGGCATTTTTATTGGCAGAGATTGTTCTCACCGTAAACACATACCTGGAGGAGCAGATCAGAAGTCGGTCTGACTCGCTGTTGGAATAGGATGCTTAGTGTTCGGTTCTGTTGTTCCAAATCAAACACTCTTATTTTCAGCTTTACACATTCCTCCCTTAGATCCTACAGCAAACACATTAAAAGGAAAAAAAAAAAAAAAACATCTATAACTAAAGGACATCCCTGCTTCTTATAACGATATTTTATATATATTTCAGACACATTAGTAAAAATAGCATTTTTATTTTTCAAAGTCCCCAGAAATAAATCACAAACATTTTCTTCCACAGACCATTGTCTGATGGAATTATTATGTGCAGGGAAGACCAATTTTTTTTAAAAAGAACCTTGAAATCAGAAATGCATTAATGTAGCATGCTATTCTTGAAGACAGTAAATCTTAGTGATGTAAAGTCAATTTAAGTTTCTACCTATATATTTTGCTTTTTCACTGTCTTCATAAAAGCAATCATAAAGTATGAGCCACAAGGACAACAATGCTTTTGCAATGAATAGAGATTTGATGAACTAAAGAAACGATCACTTTTGATGGAGTCTTTCGATTTCATTTGTGGAAACGAGTTGAGATTCTCGGCACTATGGCTAATAGAGTCAGTGATGCATTTAGTAAGAAAGAGGTAAATGAACTGAAGGGTTTTAAAAGGCCAATTCTAATTCACTCGTCCTTTGAGCCAGTGGATTTCTGTATCTTCTGAGGTGTTTTGGTCTCCATGCCAGGGAAAAAGTACAGCTTCTCAAATCAGCAGCACTTTGAAGCAGAGTTTATGTTTGTTTTGTGGCACTGAGACTGATTCTTGAGGCCTGGAGCAGCTCTTTTGAATGATTTGGCCACAGGACAGACCTTTCTCCAGAGCTGGTTTCCTGAAGTCCAAGTTACCGCCTTTCCATATCACTTACAACAAAGGTGTGTGTGTGATATGTGAAGTCGTCATCCCCTTTGCTCCAGTAAGACCTGGAGTAAGACCTCAACTAAAGGCTCTTCTGAAACTGACTCTAGTACATTTCAACATTTTGTCTTTGACTATTTACCAATGTCCTAAAAATATAATTCTGCTGTCACAGTACAGGGAACTAAGGTCTGCTTGTTGCTTGTAAAAGCTCTGCATTTCTGCTGGCCTCTCTCCTCTGCCACCACCATTGTCCCTTCTTCCCCCTGCCTTCTTACAGACCACATTTTATCAAAGGGCTGAAGCCTAATTCACACTTTATTCTCTCTCTGCCACCTTCACTGGCATCCTCCAAGAAGAATGCTCCTTTCTGCAACTCCACGGATCCTCAATGCCTCCTCTACACTGTTTAGCATTGCTTACTTGGTATGGATTTCATTATTTCTCCCTTAGACTTAATTTTCAACAAGATATCACATCCTTCCAAAGACTGGTACAAGAAGAGCTTAACATAATCAACCACAAAAGCACATAACTTTACATTCTTTTCATTCCATCACCTGGTACTGTACCCCACAGAGGAGGAGCTTCACATAAATTTGCAGTTGTTTTGCTAGAAAGGATGATGAAGACAAATTGTATGCTGTAGCAACTGTCACCCTGAAAAGTTACAATTTCTCAACACTTTTATGAAGTCTATAAGCTGACATGGGGCAGCTGTAGGCTTCAGTTAAGGCTTTTAAGCTAAGGAGAGCATGAATAGCAATGATACCATGGACCTAGCTAGTAGTCACAGAGGCAAGTGGGTTTGTGCCATAATGTTGTATCAAGTGCCTGCGAAGCTACCAAGGTCTAGCTGCTAGGGTTTTGGTGAGTATGTACCATTATATCCTGCAGGTAAAAGTCATTCTATTTAAAGGGTGCAAAGACACAAGCTACAGTGTTGCTCACTGCAAGTCTGTACCTTCCTTACTCATTTTAGTTACATGGGAGATGCATATGCATAGGATGTTCTCCATTGATTTGTGGCCTGCAGTGTAGGGCAGAGTCAAGGAATGTCACGTTTCAAGTGAGGCTCCTGGGACCAAGCCCCACAGGGATGGAAGCAGGAGTGTACATTTGTTCTTACCCTTCTGGCAAAGGCCATTCTAGGGTCTACTCCTTGCACAAATTAAAAGGGTAAGTTTGCTTTAAAATTCAATCTCTTACTTATGCTAATTTTTGCTCTTAGTATGTCAATAACACTCTCTGTTCCCAAACACTAATTGTTTTTACTACTACTAATTAAGTAATTAATAAAACTTGACTGTGAGGTAGATAGTAGTATCTGTTGGTTGGGAAAACACAATCATTCTCATCTGCAGGTAAAAGACATGGGAATAGACACATCCAGGGCTGGGTTTATAAGGAAAGCGGGACCTGAAATTAATATCACTCACAATTTTAAGGAGCAAAACCAAGTAAACTTGAGAGTTCTTCACATGTCTAAAATAATAAAACAAAATGGAAAAAATTCCATGATTAATATTATTAGGTGTGGTCGAAGCTCATGATTGGGCTATTACAGGTCCATTCTGAGAGCTATCAGTTTATCACCACGGACTTAGCCAGCTGATCTGAAAACTTGTAGCCAGAACTGCCTATACTGTTTTTAATGATCTACTATGTTCAGTCAAGCGGTGGACAGTCACTGAAGCCTGATATTTTCCATCCCATATGTGCCCACGTGTGCACAAATATAATTAGAGTGGACTCAGAGAGAAGAACAACTCTGCCTGCTGGTATGATGCCTGGAGAGAGGTGACAGCTGGCTGTCTTTGCTTCCTCTGTGCTCTCAGTAGGAACCCACCAGCATAAAGGGACAGCTGAAACACTTGGGCTGGGTATCAGAACAACTACCCTGACTGCAGGATGCAGGGACCAGACCTAGAATAGCCTCCCCATGAAAGCTGTAGACATGAAATTATTTTCTCGTTTAGAGGCCACAGTCTGAGGTCATGGCTTGAGGCACAGGCTGCATCATCCATCCTCTCTCATAACCATTTTTTTTTCTCTGACTCCCTAACTATGCCTTGGGCCTCAAGAAATGGACCTAACTGAAAATACATGGCTGTGTCTTCTGCTAGAAGAAGGGAAAGTAATGTTTAATTTTTCCATGGGGAAATAATGTTAAAGATTTGACCACTTTCAAGAAAGTACGATGGGATTTAGCTTTAGAAAAACAGCCAGATCCATTATCCTTGCACTGTACAAGTCACTATGAAACTGGAAACAGAAACTAATGTATCACTATGGAAAGTATATGGAGCAAGGTGATGTTCTGGCGTAAAGGGCCCCCATCCACCTTTCTCATCTCAAATCACAGTCTCCCCAGAGGTGACATATATTGGAATCCACATAAATTGCTCATGGGCTGAAGAGGATTCTGGGCCTACTGCTATATAAGTTATTTTATACTTGAGAAAAGCAAAACCAGTGATCAGTTCTAAGACCAAAGTCAATTTAAGACGATGATGACTGGTTCAAAGCAGCACATATGCTGACATTATTACTGAAGTCCCATTGAAAACTATTTAAATCTCATTTTACCATCTGAAAATATGATAAGAGTGTACTTAATTCAGAGGCAGTGTCTCTCATGGGAATATAGCAGAGTAGACATAGAGGGCCTGTGTTCTCTTCTTTCTACCCACATAACCTTGATGAAGTGAATTTTTCTTTAAAGAGAACTCAGCTTCCTCACTTGTAAACTGAGGCAACATGTGGTCTTTCTCAAGATATCAAATATTTCACCTGCTTCATAGTTAATGGGTCCAGTGTCGTCTTGTGCCCTGAAACTTGATGGCTGCCACACTCTCCAGCCTCTTGTAGTCATATCTCAGCAGGTTTTAAATGGATTGTCCCTATCTATAAAGGATGCTGAGACTTCCTGGAAGGTGCAAGGACCTGGGTCTGGCTCATATCACATGCTGTGCTGGCTCTGTGCCAAGCCAGCCACTGAAACCAGGCATGGTGTTGCATGCCTATAATCCCAGCACTAGGAAGGCTGGGACAAGAGGATCACTACAGGTCCAAGCTGCATAGCGAGACTCTGTACCAAACACATAAATAAAAGATTAAAAAAAGAAAGAAAAAGAAAAACACCATTTGGTGGAAAGACTAGTCCCTTCTTAGTCTAACCAAAGGCTTCATCATCAGATGTCAAAAAGGCAAACATGGAGACACCTCTGACTGCTTCAGGAAGCAGCGAGTCCTGCAGCAGACTGGATCCTGCAATCTGTACCCTGAAGGTCTTCAGATTTTAAACCATTTGCCATCTGAACAGTGGCTGAACAGTTTCTGAGATTACACTGAATTGAACCCTTACAAAAACTACTGACAGTCTCAAGATTATATATTATAAAGGTTCTTAGCCTTAGGAAATCTAGGGTCCCAAGTAAGGTCAATGTCAAGAAACCTTGACTCCACAGCTACAGTTTTCTTGCAAACATATCAGAGCCTGAATGCTCCTGCTAGAGAGGGCCAGCAAGGTTTCTGAATGTTTGAAAAAGTCCGTTGGCTGTCTCACTCTTTCTTTTACATCTGCAAGCATAACTAACTGTTGGGTTTCAATCCCTTTGATTTCCATTGAATCCCTGTCTGCTGCACAGATCTGCAGTAGAGAAAATCTGTAAGTGATGGAGCCAGGCTGCAGAGGAAGAGTGGAGAATGAGGCAAAAGCATGTGTGGACTCTGCCTCTTCCTAGCAAGAAGAAAACTTGGAAAATTATTTTCTTGTTTCTATCTTACAGGGCTTAAACAGGAATAAAATGACTGAGTGCATTTTAAGTGCTCAGGCGTGGGGAGTGACTGCTTATCAATGGCCAGCAAGTATAAACGGAGCCCCTTCAAGAACCAGATTCTACCCAGACCATTGGTGTAGAAGTGGACTCAGATGGCCTGGCTGCCTCTCCTACAAAGGAGATATGTAGGAGTTTGGAATTCTTTCAAACTACAAAATTGTTGTGTTTTTATCTGAATGATTGTACTGCTGGATTCTATCCTGTATCAGCTCGTTCCTTCTTGGTGAAGGAAAAAAAAGCCATATTAATCTGTGGTTACTGTACTAGAATGCAGACAAGGCTGACCATGTTGACTTGGAGGAAAATTAACAGCAGGAAAAATGCTTTTATTCCAAGTTGGGTGTTAAAGGCAAAAGCACTGAAGACACTAGGAAAGTGACATTTTCACAAGATAATGGATTTAATGATGACGAAGTGTATCACACAAAAATATGAGTTTTGTCTGAATTATTGATTTTACTGATATTTGTAGAGGTGAGCCTATGACTTAGAGATTGAAATGAAAGCGAGCTGGCTTTTACATTGTCACTTTCGTGCTACTGATTGAAAGGAGCACAGTTAAATCTTTTAATTAAATCCAGAAGCCTTGACCATAAATTAAATTTCTTGAGCAGGACAATATATATTCGCATAATAGGAAATGACCACTGCCTGGAAACAAAGTTGTTTTCTTTTTTCCATTGGCATGGCTAGGTTCTTACTCCAGGAGCCGGCATGGGCCAGTCCATAACACGCCATGAAAATGCCGTCGTGCTGCCTCCTGAAGAGCTAACGGCATGGCAGATCACCTCCGTGCCATGAGAAATGATACATTTTAAAGCCGAAGAGTTTGTCTATGCTGTCACGTCAAGAACTGTTTATATATGATTGGATAAATCATCTAAAATTTTAGTTTTTACTCTGTGCTGATTGTGATTGTCCCTCTCTTTATAATTAGTTTTCTCACCTGCATTTGGGTCTGTTTTATTTTCCATATTGGGCTCTCAATTAAAAATAAAAGTTTTGTGTTTTTTTTTTGTAACAGTTTTCCAGTCCCTATACACTAGAAGACACACACTTTTGGTGGAACTTGGTTAGGCTCTGATGCTGGCAGCATCCTTTCCTGCCTTCTCGTACCCTTGGGGTGCACTGTCTTGTGGTAGCACGTCTGTCTTAACTGTACCAAAGTAGATTTACCTGTTTCCTAGCTATTACTCGGGGTAGGGTGGCTATTTTCTTTGGGCTGACCTGACGTACTGTTTTCCTTTTCAGGGTACCAGATGACTTCTCTGCCACTCTCCCAAGGCAGAATTAAAGAGACAAGCAATTAACATTTCATCAGTTGCGCATAGAGCTATTGTTAGCTCTCTTCCTTGCTTAGTTTTATAACAAAATAAGCAGAGTTTCTAATGGGAAGAAAATATTTGAGAAATTAAAGCCTTTGGAAGAGAAAAGGCATTCAAATGTGTTATGGTAGAAGTTGTGATTACTCAATAACACTTTATTTCCACTTATTTTACTGTACTATGACAAACAGTTTTCAGCTGGGCTCATATTTAGAGGGAAGACGTCTTCACCAGCTTCCATGGGTGTGGCTAAGCAATCTTGAAGCAGTCACTTGTAAGGACCTGGTCGTCCTCCTTAAAAGGCAGCTAGAATATGCTCTTGGCTCTCCTTGATTTCTTTAGCTTTCTTTGGTTATTGTTCCTGTTGTTGCTGTTGTTTTGTTTTCTTTTCTCCTGACTGTTAGAACTTGGGTAAGATGACTGAGGAAGAGCAGCTCACTGGAAAAGCCAGGGACCCTACAGACTCAGCGCTACCACATCCGCCTTGTACAGACTGCCTGTGAGTTTCTACTGAGAATGCTATGACATCTTACAGCACTTAAGCCACCACTGTTTCACCTCTCTATTACAATGGAACCTCAGTTTAACTCTACATAAGTGTACCTAAATCTCTTTATTTATGCATTGTTAGCATAAAACCTGCAGCAGCTAAAATTATTTGTAGAAAGAGACATGACATTTTGACAGACATAATAGGAAAGAAGTCTAGCAAAAATGTTACAACGATATCTGTACAGCATATATTAAAATAATTTCAAGTATTTCCATGAGAAGCAGTCAAGCACTGATAAAATTCTTTTCAAATAAAAAATTCAAGATGGTGCAAAATTTGCTCTTGTTAGTTACAGCCTCCTGAACATGCTCCGTGATCTGAGATTTCCTTTGGGGTGGGGGGAGTCTCCACTTTACAGAAAGAGAAATGAGGAGGAATACAATCTTATGGGCCTACAGTTCATCCTGAGAGGTATTTTTTAAAAATAAATGATAGGATACATTCAATAAATCCACCAAACTAGCCAAATGCAACCAATATGTGTTTACCCACTCTGTCCTAAAACATGGTCTTACATCACATGGAGACAGGATAGGGGGACGGCAAAAAAAGGAGAAGCAGAAATTTCATACATAACATCCACCACTTATTTGATATTATCATAAACTGACTCCTGGAAATGCTGTCTGTGTCCCCTTTTATAGAACCACAGCAATGTTGTGGTCTGGGAACTATTATTCTTACTTAATTTCAGAGAGAGAAATTAACACTCAGAGAGATGTAATCCCTTGCTTAATCTATAAGCTCTCCTGCTGAATTTTAGGCTCTCTTTAACACTGTCCCCAAAAGGACTCTCATTTCATATGCATCAGAAGAATCCGCCAACATTTTAAAGTCCTTGTTCACTAAATAAAAATGACGGGTCTCTTACTCATTTGGGTATATGGAGAGCTTTCATTTTTAAAGGCTTTCTATTACTTTACCCAGGGTCTAAATTTTACAATTCTATTGGACATTCATTGTTGCTACCCCATACACCAAATAAAACACACACAGTTTTAGCCTAAGTGAGTAAATGAGAAAGTATTGCATCTATCAATCATAATTTTGGAGTTCGACAATGTGAGTCGTCATCCATCCACGTAAGTACTTTGAAAGGAATAAGGTAAAAGGTGACCTACCTTTTGAGTGAGGAGAGCTTGAACAACTTGATTGGCTACCTTTAAAAAACAAGGAAAGAGAGTTGCTATTTATATAAGGCTTTATACGTATAAACTCTAATTTACCAATAAATTTCACAAAGCTTTCTGTGGCTTATTAGTGCCTCATTCCGTTCTTGTCTCTACTTCAAGAAAACCTCAGTCTTTTCGTAATAAGCCTATCCTTGTAGGTAATACTTCGTTATTTCCAAAGGTGTCCTTGTTGCTAATTAAGAGGGTTCAGCTGGAAAGATCATTCATACCTTGACATTTGTGTTTCCATACTAGGAAAAATGATATCCTTTCATATGTAAAGTACTCCAAGAAGGCTAAAAAATGATACGGTGCAAAACACAGTCCTAATTATCTGTACACAGGTTCTATAAGGGGCTGATTTACAATGCCCTTTGCCTCTCCTTCCTATTTCTTCATGGCTATTTCACTGTTTAAAATCACTTGCAGCAAAGCAGAATGGTCGAGACCAAGGACAACGCAAGTTCCTGTTTTCCTTGCTTCTCTCCTCTGTTTGCTTTATGCCATCCTCTGCAGCTGCCACCTGCAGAACATCCTGGCAGCTGTTTACTGCAACATGCACTTTTCCCTTCTTTCGCAGTAACCCAATATTTTTTGGCAGACGGCAACCAAGTCTGTTTTGTCGTTTCTCATGTAGTTACTTGTCTTCGTGAAGCAAAGTTCTAGCTAATAAGATACAAGTGGACTTTCTTGGACTGGCTCAAGAAGTCTCTAAGAAGAAGAGTGTTGCTTGCCACCCACTTCCTTTTCTTGTATGGGTCATGAAAGTGATGGCTGGAGCCTCAACAGCCACCTTGCTAACAGAAGTAAAAAGCTGGATGCTAGGGCAGGAGAATAGGACAAGCCTGATTTTGATGATGACACTGTGCTTTACTATATATCTGTGAACTTTTATGGCTGGAGAAAAATATCAACAAGCTAATGAGATTTCCCCCCAGTATACAACCAAAATTAATTCCTTTTTAATGTCTTCACAGCACTCTAGTTTTCTTCAAGCACTAGACAACTTAGGGCTAAGGGAAATCTGGGCTCTTCCTCAACCAAAGGATGTGAATCTTGATTAATCTACACTGAATTTACTATTCCATTGCTGTGCAGGGACTGGATTAGGAGAAGGCATAGGATGTTGTTCAAATTAAAGGCCACCAATCCCAATAATGTATCGCTGGAAATAATGACACCTGGCCTTTTCTCCACATAACTCCACATACCTACTGTTCATGTCTATGTATATTTCCACTATATATATATATAATGTTTGAAAATAATTCTGTTTGAAAATAATTCAGTTCATAAACAGAACTATTCAGCAAAATTTTGTTTCCATCCAAGAACTTCACATCAGGTGCAGAACATGGCCACGGCCATCTTTTCTGGAGAAACACTAACTTGGTCATCTTTCCCAGCATTGTGGAATGACTTAAGCTCGTTAATTGGATATGCCATACATTTATAAATATAAAAGCAGAAAGAGATAAACTTAAACTTCATCCTAACCTGAAACCATGTACCTAATGGTTGCTGCTCATGAAAACTGAGGTTGGTAGCTTAAGTCATGTTCTTCACTTAGATTGAGACAGAATCTTTAAATATGTGACATAAAGTAGTTCTTGCACTTTCTTTGTTCACTTATGAAATATAAATTTTCTACCAATCTATTTTCCAAGGAGAGTGACTGGGATTTGGTCATATTTGGTTTTGAAGTCTAGTTATTTTAATCACAGGATTATAACATAATATGATACACATGATAGCACTATGATATTTCTCACATTCAATCCAAAATTGGGGGACTCACATCTTCGTTTTGTTTTTGTGAACAATTTATTTTTAGTGATGTGAAATTATTTGTGCTTATTTCTCTGTTTAGTATAGTGGAACAGATTACAGCAAGAATGTTTTCATGGGCTTAATTGTTTCTTGGCTCAATATTGACAAAATAGCACGTCCTTGACAACAGTTGGCTCCCAATAAGTTTCACACAAAATTAAAACACAGGCTGTCATCAACTTTTGCTTAGAAGGCATTCACACCATGAGCAGTAAACGACTAGAATTAGATTATCCATCATTAGTTAAGAGGGAAATTTTTCCCTATCAGAAACATTCTAAGTAAAAAAGAAAGGCCATTCCCTAAAGCTAACTACAGTTTTGGAGGAAAAAAAAATTCTTAGGTATTTTTTCAATGAAGTTAAAGTTCAAGAAGCATATATAAAGCTATTATATATAACAATAAATGCTCCTCCATTAAATGGTACTTTATTTTTCTTTTAATTCTTTATTTTTATTGATCACAATGATAAAAAGTGATTCAACCTACACAAACTTTTTTAAGCATCTAATTCCAATTCATAAGTAGCAGAGAATTTAAAGTCAAACAATACATCATCTAATTTATTGCTGGCTAATAAAACAGAAGAATTGAAGTATCCATGCAGGTTAAATCAGGAAAAATGCACCAAAGTTAATTCATACCATAAATAATTTACTTTTTTATCTCAAACTTTGGACTTGATTTATGCTCTCATAAAACTGCCTAATATCAATATTTTCTTTTCTTCCTCCAAACTGGTAGCTCACTTAAGCCATTCTGTGTAACAGTGGTCACATAAAATAGCTCTATCCATGATTTAATAGGAGACATAGAGTAATATCCTAACTGTAACAGCCCACAGGAGGAAATGTGTTATATCTTTGCAATCCAAGCGCTTGCCCTATAGGCCTGCAGACTCTATATCTGACATAGTTCCTTCGGGCATGTACTTTGGACAATTGTTTGCTCTACCTGAAAATTGAACAAAGATACACCAATACATTATTTCTTTACCTGCTGACATGGGGTTATCTTGCCCAGTAGGAGTCACAGCTTCTATGTTGAAGAGCAGGCAGACTATATAAATGCTTTACTCCATACCTTTGCTAAAGACAGTTTCCTAGGTTTTGTTACTTCTTTTAATAGCCAAGCTGCCCAAATTCTTCACCCAAACAGTTGTTTGGAGTTTGTGCCTACAACCTCTACTAGACTCACAATATGATACCTGGGATGGGCCCTGCCCATAATGTTCGAGCAATAAGCTCTAAGCATGTGGATTGCAAATAGTTGCATTCCCGCTCACCAGCAGGGCCCGTTAATGAGAACAAATAACTTTCAGTGTTCCCTGCCAGCTTTCTATCCAAAGAAAGGAAAAATAGCAGCTGGGTTGTGCCAGAGGGATCTGAGACACACACAGAGCAAAGATGCTAGCCCTTAAGCCTCTGGCTTGTGTTACAACATCCCCCAGTTCTCCGCAGGCCTCTACGTTGCCCCTAGGAGGTGGAGCTCGGATGCAGGTGAGACAAGTCACCCAGGAGGACACCTACTAATAGCCTGCTGCCTTCTCAGTAAACAGTAAGGATTCTGCCAGATAAGCCAGCTCCTCTGACACTTGCTTGATCTCCTGCTGATCCAGGACTTACTCAGGGCTTCCTGCTTAGGCTTTCAGGGCTGGGGTCTCCTCAAGAACTTCAATGAAAGGCGATGGCAGAAAGTGCAGAAGTTGGGGCTGCTGAATGGTCTGCTACTAGATTGCAAAATGTCCCTGAAGCAGAATAAGGAGTCACACTAAGGAGAACACTCAGCAACAAGCCATTTGTACCACATTGAGAAGACAGCCAGAGTCTGTGGAGTGTGGAGGCTGGAGGGTCGAGGAAAGAGGATGCTGGGTAGGATGCCTTGGGATGTCATGGTGGGTGTGAGAACCCTAAAAGGCCTCATGCTTTCTTCCTGTCTGCTTGTTTTGTCCTGACGTACTCTTTCAACATGCAAAGCACATGTTTTTAGCAAGAAAACTTAAAAATCTGCTCCCGAAACCATGTTTTCAAAAGTTGATTTGGAGGAATTATGATTCTGAGTTTGGTTTATTATACTGAGGTAGCTAGAGGAAAACTGAAAGACTACTGGGACAGAATCACAAGACAGACTTGAACTCAAAGACTGACATTCATGAGACTGGAGAAGCAACCTGACTTTCCTCATGCGTGAAAGATGGGAACAGTCCGTCTCTCAAGTTGTGACAAACGGATGAGGTGACAGGTATAAGGAGAGAAACCACCAGAGGCTGGACCTGATATAAATACTAAGTGTGAAGCAGGGGTGGGGCATAATGCCTTTCCAGGTAGGCAGTGAGGAAAGAATGGCTCAAAAGTAGGAGGCCTTAATTGTAAAGGACTGCATATGTACACATATAAATCCTATAAGGTAAAATTAAATAAATAATAAGCTCAAAGAATGAGTTTATTAACTCATAAACACGAGTCCCCAAATGCCACAGGATGAAGAAGACTGTGGCCATGTTTAAAATCAAGTCTTCCTAATCCAAAGCCCACACAATCTAATTTAAACTAGTTTTCTGTGGGCCTACGATTTTCATTCCAGCTGATTTAGCCTTTTGATTATCTTTGGGGTTGGGCATAATAAATGACTGCTCATCTCTGAGGAGATAACTGGAGAAATTACTCTAAATATGTATGTGGGATTTCAGGGAAACTAATTTGGAAATTAATTTCCTGCTGCTGGGCTTCATTCATTCATTTAAAGTCATTTAACAAATATGAACCGAATACCTAGTGTGGGCCCCAAATCAGGCTGGATCAGGAAGAAGTAATGGCAAGAACGGAGGTGCCGCTCCCAGGTGGTCAGAGTCGAGCGCACACAAGGAGGAGAAGCTCATCTGTTGATGATGTAGGGGTGAGGGGCATGAGAAGGCCAGAGGGAGACTTTCCCCAAATGTATCAGTAGAGGTAGCAATTTTAAAGACTGCACAGGATCTTGAGGTGGGGAACAGCCTGAGAACACTCCACAGTCCAGTAAAGTACATGGCATATGGGCCAGAGAGACGTAAGGACTGATCTTAATAAATTATTTGTCTTCAGCCTGGGCCTAAGAGAAATGGTGGTGCTTTTTTGCTTCTGTCTCTAACCTGCATTCAGTGCTTTCCTTTTCCAGACCCCTGGGCTTGAAAGTGCAGGTGCTGGAGAGGAGCGCAATGGCAGCATGCTTGCTGGCTCCTAGGCCTCACCCCACTCTGTTGATCTGAAGGCAAGGGCAGCGTGTCCGCTTCTGTGTACAGAAATCTGTTCATCTGCGATGTCTGTGGACACTGCCTCTCTAAGTACTAAGAAGAGTCTCCGAATGTGAACTTGATCAGTCACTGCACATCTGTCTGATGGACAAGGGTCCTGGAAATACACTTTAGGAAACACTGGCTGAGGCCTATATTTTGGTTGGTCATTAGTATTAACTCATAAGTGATGAAAGCCTTCCATGTGGCTGTGTCCTTCTCTGTTGCTATATCTGAGTCTGTCTCCACATTATCACCCTCCTTTGCACACTTTGTAAAAAATGCTCCCTGCAGCCAGGCACTCAGAGGGCCTCACTGGAGTATTGCTTCACCTTGGTGAGTACTGCAATACTCTGGAGTGTTTTAAAAAATTCAAATGCCCAGGATCCCCCCCCAGAGCTGAATCACAACAGAGTCTCTAGGGCCGGATCTCACCAGCAGCATTTTAAAAGCTCCTAGGCAAGTTTTTCTCACATTCGCCCTCTGTGACTATCCGTCCTTCTCACTTGTAGGAGTCCGAGAGTACCAATGAGCGCCCAGTGCCTGTGAGAGGCTGACACCCAGTAAAAGTTTACAGCACACCACGGACTCCATCTAAAGGCAATGTGCTGGCTCGAGGAGGTGGTATTTACTTATTTTATATGTGCCATTATATCTCTCTACACAGGAATAGTTGGTGGAAAGGAACTGTGGCCAAGGCAATGCTGTGAATAAACAGTAATTCACTGCTCTCCAGTAAACTGCCTGTCAAACAGCTAGAGTGAAAAACTGGATTCAGATATGAAAGCCTCCAAATTCTCAAGGGAATAAAACAATGAGAGTAACCCATGGTGTTGTCCTTGTAGCAGCAAACAAGGACCCACCAGGAGACAGGAGCAGTGAAGGTGATGGGGAAGTGCGCATGTGCACAGATATGTGTGTGTGCATGCGTGTGTGTGTGTGTGTGTGTGTGTGTGTGTGTACTCACAATCTTACCAAGCCAGGCATGTGTGGTTGGATGTATCTATTCACCTGGCCTTACTTACTGCTGGATAACACACTCTTTCAGTAGAAAATGAACAAGGAATTTCAAACATCCAGGTGTTTTTCCCAAACGCTCAGTGTGTTCTCTATTTCCCCCAGAAAATAACCATCAGTCCAGTAGGGATTGAGGAGCATTTTAGATTTGCATGTTATCCACCTGAGTGTGTTTTATGGAGCCTACTAGCAGGAGATAACTTACACGAGGCCTTACCTTGTTAGTTTGTCTAATTAGGATAAAAAGCCTTGAAAAGAATTTCCAGTTGGCATTATTACTGCGTTGAATGACCCCTTTGATAGCGTTCTCCTACAATGCATGGAAATGGATTGTCTGCTTCATGCAATTAGTTACAGAACAACTGGCATGTGTAATCAGGGCCAGGGCGCACGAATACAAAACATGCACACTGCTCAGAGGGGCTTTTTTTTTTTTTTTTTTTTTTTTCTCCCAAAACACTGCTTGGCAACTTTTAATTGTTGTGATTATGAACCAAGGAACTTTTCTTCTCAAAATTCTGCCGCTGGTGGAGAGTATATGGAGTGATTCTGTGGGTGGCAAGAAGCTTTGGCTGACAGAGACTGTCAAAACTTGCTCAGTGCAGGTACAGTGAGCACATAGAAACATTGTGTAGATTCTCCAGGGGAATGGCGTGAGCCGCTACGTAGGAAGGGAGGGCATAACTGTGCGCATCGTGACAAACAAGACATTTCTGTGGAATTCTGAATGTAGGTACAGTCTCAATGGAAATGTCTATGCTGGCGATTAAAGGGAAATTGTGATGATCAGTACATGAAACCCTCCCGAATTGCTGGGCACAGTGATACACATCTGGAATGTCAGCACTTGAGAGGCTGAGGCAGAAGGATTACTGGGTGCTCCAGGCCACCCTGGGTTTACTGATTTTAACAGCAACCTGAATTATATTGTGCGAGCCTGTCTCTGTCAGTCAGTCAGTCAGTCAGTCAGTCAATATATTCATCCATTGCCTTGGATCTAATCTGTGTTTCTCGCCCTAAACTTTTTTGGACTGAGAACCTGGAGGCCGGGGAGAGGGCTTCTGAGTTTACTAAGGCTTTATGTCCCCTTTATGTCAATTAACTCTCTGTGATTCTTTTAATTATGGACAGTGTAAAGATTATTCTGTTCATTTTAAAGTCTTGGAAAGGTAGAAGATCACCAACTCTATTTTGCCACTGTAGTCAATGCATATGGCTAGAAAATATTAAATAATTAAAATACTGAATATTAAACTATTCAGGGCATTTTCCCACCACTAGTAAGAAATGGATCCCAAGTGGTTTGTGTTATAGGATGGGACTACAGGCTCAATAAGCACCAATACCAGCTTCAGAGCTTGCTGATATGTGGAATTTCTGGGTCACCCCTCTCTCTGACTCTGGGTATCTGGGGTGGGTCAGAGATTCTGTATCCGTCACAAGGTCTTTGAGAGGGAGGCTAAAAAAGTAGGGTTGTGATTATATTTTAAGAGCTACTGGCATAAGAAAACCTCAAGCATGACCAGTACTTAGGGAACAGAGCTGACTTCAGTCTGAAGGGATCGAAGTGGTACATGGCTGGGCCTGGTGGTGCATGCCTATAATTCTAGCACTTAGGAGGCTGAGGCAGGAGAATCTTTGCAAGTTGAAGACCAGCTTAGGCTGAAAAGTGAGCTCAAGACCAGCCTAATCTGAAGGCAAGGCTGACTTTTTGTCTCAAAAAGTCAGAAAGAAAGAAAGAAAGAAAGAAAGAAAGAAAGAAAAGAAAAGAAAAGAAAAGAAAAGAAAAGAAAAGAAAAGAAAGAAAAAGGTATACAGAGGCAATACAGTGTCTTAGCTGGATTTGAGCCTATATTCTTAAGGGTCCAACCCACCAATTTATGGGACAGCATGTGGGATAAAAGGGAGCTAGAAAGGTAGAGAAATATCAAGAGGAATTTGTTAGAGAAGGATATTCTAATTATTACTTGCAGGAAAAGACTGAGGATAAGTTGGTAGTTCTATTGATAAAATATCAGAAACAAAGTTAAACACAGTTTTTTCTTGTTTTTCTCAAAAATCTCTATCAGCCACAAGATGACAAATAAGTGCTTATTCCACTGAGCTATCTCCCTGGCCCCAACAAATCTCAAACTGCATCTTCTAGAATACATTTTAGTGTGTGGAGTGGATGTCTGAAGAAGTTACCACATTGAAATAATAGCTCTGACCGTGACAAAGCCCAGAGGAGACATGCTCGGGGAGGCGAAGGGCCAGTCCTGGCAGGAAGACAGAGCGTGACTCACTGGCAGGACGTGTGGCAGTGTGAGTGGAATGGCCAAGAAAAAAGGGGGGGGGTTGGCACCCCTGGATCTCCCCCTGACTTCCTAGAATCTCTCCAGTGCTCACCATCTTTGTGCTCATCTTTCTACCATCACCAGATGACACTTACTGAGGTTACTCATGCATGTGGCCCTGTCTTCTTCCATTTCACTCCAGTTTTCTTGCCCACTTCCTTTCCCCTCTCGCACTCATGCTCAGTCTCCTGAGTTTGCCCAACTGGGCTGCCAACAGTGGTCATCATGCCCACCCACTCTCTCACAGATTTGCTTTCTCTGCAATGATGTCCAGTTGCAGTTACAATATACCCTAATCCAACATGGCTGTTCTCATTCACAGCCAGGGATCACCTACTGGATGGAAGAAATCAACGTAAAGCAAAAGCCAAAAGGAAATTTACTGGTGCCTGTATAAGGAATCAGGGAAGACTAGACGGGAGAGAGGGTTGACAGGAAGAAAGCGACAGACAGACACGCACTCCAAGCTTCCTTCTCAATGTCACAGGATCGGAGCTCTCACTTGAAGAAGAAAATGCTAATGTTCTGTGGAGGCTGATAATATTCATGTGCTCAGATCTGATTAAAATAATTTTAACCAGTCTGGCTTCCTATTATAGTCCTTTGCATTCACCTTACCTCGTCAAGACATCTCTCATACTGCTCTCTTTGATTTTCATTTTCCAAAGCCAATGCTGAATTCTCTGCCTGCAGTAAGATACAAAAATAAGACAAATAAATCAATAAAATGTTGTGTTATGTGACAACTTACTCAATACAGTTACTAAATATATCTCCTCAGGATCCAAAATAATCTTTTAGAAGTACCTTTGACAAGTCTGTTTTAAGTACTATTATAAATATCTCGGGGATGACTTCTGTCTTACCAAATTGCTCACAAAAGTACATTACAATTTCAAGAAATGCAAAACTTGATATTCTGAACAGGTAGAAAATCAAATCATCACTTGATGTGAGAGGGTTCTGAAGAAAGATTACAATGTTTATCTCATTCTATGAAAATGTAAATGTAAAAAGTGCCTTAATCCGCTTCATTAAGACCTGTCCCGTCCTCACAGCCCAGTATCCAGGGAAAGTCACTAAAGAATAATCCCAAAAGTAAATGGAACATGCTATTTGGATGTTAATCAATGACTTTTAAAAATAAGTCAACAGTGAGAAAGGCAAGGTTGGAACTATTCTCTTAGAAGCATCTCTTTCCCCAGCCTTTTAATCACTGATTTCTGCTCCTCAGAGCTCTATGAGTATGTGAATGTTGAACATAGTTACAGGAGAATATGTGTAATAGAAAGGAGGGAGAAAAGTAATCACTGAGTATGTTTTAGATCTTAGAAGGGATGCGAAATGTTAGCCCCTGTCACCATCTCCGAAGTGTACAATTCAACCCACCCAGATCTGTGACAGTGATTTCTCACAGAGCCTCCACATGTCCCCCCCAGGCAGATGTGGCTCTATCTACCCCTTCACTGCAACCCTCCTTGACATCTGGAAGTGATGCCCCAAAGCAGCACATTGATATTGTGGTATGCTTTTAGATTATTCACACAGCATTTTACCTCCGTAAGTGTTCTTCATCCATTTAAAATAAACTTTTAACTTGGGATTAATTTTAAGCTTACAGGTAATTTGCAATAATAATATAACAACTCCCACATATCTTTCTTTGGACTCACTAATCACTAACATTTTGCTACACCTGGTATATCATTCTCTTTTTCATTTTCTTTCTACACCTGGAAAGGAGGTGGTAGACATCACAGCTTGCACCCTGAATACTTCCATATGTATATCTGAGTAACAAAGACATTTTCTTACACAACCATGGCCTGTTTTTCTACTTCAGGCAACATAGAATTAATACAGCATGACAATTTGATCTATATCCTTATTATAGTTTCATCACTTGCACCAGTAATGGCCTTAAAGGTGACACTTTTGTAGTCTACAACCCTATCCACAACCATGAAGTGCACTGAATTATAGCTGTCATTCATCCAATTTCCTTCAGTCTGGAACAATCCCTTGTGTTTCTTCTGCCTTTTTCCTCTTTTCCTTCCCAGGAGAGGGTGGTTACTGTGGACTTCAATTTGGGTTTCTCTGAAGTCTCCTCATGAATGTCTGGTTGGCAGAGCACAGGCTTGATGTTGGATCTTTCTCAGTTCATCATGACACACATGATAACCGCGTGCCCTGTTACTGGATACATGAACTTGCATCACATGCTTAAAATAGTCTGCCAAACCTCTCCACAAACAAGTTATTATCTTTCTTTTTAAAAGTAAGGTGTAATTTTGGGTGAAAATTATATGAAAATTTCCCATCGTTTCTTAAAGTGTCACCTATCTATTTTAGCAATTGGTAATTTTTTACCTAGATCTAGGATGACTTCAGCTGCAAATGGTGATTTGTAATGGCATTCTCTCTACAGCATTTCCCATAATCTGTGGTGTGTACATTCTGAGTCCCCACTGAGTCACCATCAGCACTAGTACTTAATGCTACATACAGTGATGTATGATATGATGATGTTTGGCCAATGACAAACTGCCTGTATGATGATATTCCCATAAGATCATATCATTTACTGACATTGTAGCTGTCCTCGGCTGTATATGTATATTCTACATTTGTACAACAAAGGAATTGCTTAATGGCACTCTTAAGATTGTACCCCATTCATAAGTCACAAGTGTATATGGACCTATACTAAATTTTAATTTGTTAATTAGGCACACCAAAAGATGAATAACAGCAGTAAAATAAAGCAACTATAGTATAGTATGACAATACTGACAGCATTATTATTCTTGTACTTCACGTCATTATTAAGTGAAATGAGGGCTACTTCACAAAAACCACTGCAACAGTTCAACAGTGGCTTGTCAACCAAGACAGCTACCAAGTGACTAATGGGAAGGTAGCATATACAGCATGGATACAATGGAGTAAGGAATGATTCATATCCCAAGCAGCATGGTACATTATTTCATTGTTTCTCAGCATGGTGCCCAATTTAAAGTTTATTGATTATTTATATCTGGAACTTTCTATTTAATATTTTCATGCCATAGTCTGTGCTGGTAATTAAAGCCATGGAAAACAAAACCATGGATAAGGGGTAACTATTGGGCATTTGTAAACATATTCTAGCAGAAGAAAGTATATTTCCTGCTTATTAGTGTATATATACATATATATATATATACATATATATATATTCTTACATTATTCAAATAATTCCTACTGATTTTGATGTTTTAATTAATTGCCCCAGCTTTGGACACGTAAGCCACTTTATGCTGGTATCTGTGTCATTTTGGTGCAGTGCTATCATTTTAGAAACTCTTTTTTGACACAAATACATGTTCCAAAGCCCAGCTCACAATTTCTTTGCAACATGCTCACCATTTGCGTGCAAGCTACCCTTCTTTATTATTTGGGAAACGATACTTGAAGTCACAGCGTGAGAGCTGCCTCATGTAGTCACACCCCTCAGCAGCCACTGTTTCCACTCCCTTTCTGCACACTCAGGAAGCCCTGTAGAATCCTTTCTTTCTTGCCTTCCCTTTTTCATCCTTTACCTCCCTTTCATATAGTCAGAACTAGGTCTCTCCATATCATCATATATACAGATTTCTTTAATCCTACAAGCACATTCAAAATTGTTACATTGCAATTTTACAAAGTAAAAAATAACAATAGGAAGACTTCAGCATTTTTTTTTCTTTAGGATGATGATGTGCAATATAAACTCAGCATCCAGAAGTTACTAGGTTAGCTGTCCATTTCTACTTGTAGTGTGGTTGTGCTAGTCACCTCAAATGTCGTTCACTTCATTTAGGCCCTATAGCGTTCAAGCTTAATTTCCTCTCTTCTTGATTTCACTTTATTGCTTTGAGTACAAGAAACACTAGCATATTTCAAAGACTCAAACCTGCACAGAAAACTCATACAAAGTGAGCTATCCTTGCACCCCCAGACTATTCCTCTCTATCTCTAACAGGTTGTTTAGTAGTGTTCATTATCCTCTTTTTTGTCTCACTTAACCTGTGACTTTCTAGTGAAAATCAGGTCCTCTGACCCCCTTCTCATAATTACTTATGCAACAAACAAGTTTTCCTCTTTCTCTTTCTTCTCCTTGTTTTAGTTGTATTCTTTCAATGTTATCAGAGAATACTGGGTTCATATAGGATTATTCCACCCTTGCCCTACTGTTGTCCTGCCCGGTTGAATAGATGATGACCGGGTCTTATATATTCTTATTTCCATACCGTTTTGAAGTGTCCCTCGTCTGTTCACAACCACATCTCCAGCTGTACTTCCTCTTGTCTCTTCCTCCCCAAGGTGTTACCTTTCTGAGTCAACTGTCCAGGGTGTACACACGTAGAGCCCTACAAGAGCCAGCACTGGGGGCAGGTGGTCAATGCGGATGTCACAGCATGGCATCCTCGGATCCTGGCTTCCTTCCCTCTGTGCTTTGCTCCTTTCCACATGCAGTTCCAATTCTTGGACACACAGATTTGCAGCACTAGTTCTGGGGGTAGCCAATGTTTATTTTTCTACTTACAGTAATTTCAAATTTGAGCATTCTCTGATTTTATAATAGTAAAGCATGAGTTAATATGTAGTTTTATTTGTGTTTTCTTTGGCAGAAGCATGAAAAATTTTGCCAATTTATTGACAATAAAACTTGGGTGCAGTGATTGAGCCAGGATGGCAGAAGGAAATTGAGGACAATACCCAGGAAAAGTCCATGTGAGGGCACTCCTGCCGCCGCGATCACAGGTCAGGTTACCTCCACCTAACCACAGTCCCACTCTCAGGACCCAGGTCTTGTTCCTCTCTTGCTCTTCAGCCTTGCTCTGGTGGGCATGTCTTCTTTTTCAGCACCCCCCCTCCCCCGTAACATTCCTACCACATTCCTTCAGTCCTCTGCAGGCCGAGTCATGCCAAGTAGTCCATCCTTTTGCACTCAAGTTGATTTTCTGTTTAGCTCTTCTAAGCACTGTGTATCCTTACACGGTTCCTCTTCATTTCTTATCAATAAAAAACTGAAAGCTTCTTCTTCTTCTTCTTCTTCTTTTTTTTTTTTTTTTCCCTGAATTGTCTCTTCCTTCAAGAACTGCTTCTGGCCTATTACACTGACCCTTTTGCACCCTGAAGTTGGTGTGACTGCTCAGCTGCTCCCCAGCCCATGTGGGAGGACAGGTTGTGAGCTCCAAGTCCAGCTGTTGCAACATGTTGCACAACACCAGGTTGTGCAGCCTTGAACAACGATTTAACCTTGCTGAGCTTACAGGTCTTTGGTTAATAAACAAAGAGGACAAACTAGATAGCCCACAGAGTGAGGTCTAGCCCATGGATTTGGGTTTCTGCTAAATTTACAGTTCTTCAATTATTGCTTTCTTTGAAGAAATGCGGCTTAGTGGGATTTGCTGGTGGTAGTGAACTAAGTACACAAACAACAATGGAAAGAGATGACGGAGAGGATGGCAATGTTACTTTATGTTGCTTTCACTTTAAATGTCTTGGAAAAGTGTACACAGAAATAAAGCTGAAAATAAGAATTTATATGAGATGTCTCTATCTCACTCCTACTCCTATTGCGTTGCAATAACACGACGATCGATCCATTCAGATAATTACCCTCATTACACCGTTTACATTACTTGCCTCACGTTTACTGC